TTTGCGCCAAGCGGCGGGAATCATTGCCATGGTAACAGCAAGCTTCACCAGTCAGAGACGTCACTGTGACGCTCTGTGAGTGTGGGTAGTGTAGTTCTTTTCCCCGATGTCCTGAATAAATCGTGTTGTTCTTAAAGGTCGATATCAGATGAACTTGTGTCTCCTACAGGAACAGAAACCATTGTGTCACACTTGTTTAGATTCTCCTGATGTCCCTCAGGATCATCAGACTGAGACCTGGTACTGATCCTAGCTAACAGGTCGTCAGACTGGGACCTGGTACTGATCCTAGCTAACAGGTCATCAGACTGGGACCTGGTACTGATCCTAGCTAACAGGTCTTCAGACTGAGACCTGGTACTGATCCTAGCTAACAGGTCATCAGACTGGGACCTGGTACTGATCCTAGCTAACAGGTCATCAAACTGGGACCTGGTACTGATCCTAGCTCTCTCTGTCTGTAGTTCTGGCAGTTTGGTGAGTGGGTGGACGTGGTGATCGATGACCGTCTGCCCACTAAAGATGGTGAGCTGATGTTCGTCCACTCTGCTGAAGGCAGTGAGTTCTGGAGCGCCCTGCTGGAGAAAGCCTACGCCAAGTAAGAGAGACCTGCAGAGGACTGAATCAGACAGGGTGTCAGAGGTGTTTGTGTGTTTAGTGTGTACCAACAGTGTGTAAACTGTGTGTGTTTTGAGGTTGAACGGCTCGTACGAGGCACTGTCCGGCGGCAGCACCACGGAAGGGTTCGAGGATTTCACGGGCGGCGTGGCCGAGATGTACGAGCTGAAGAAAGCTCCCAGAGACCTTCATCGAATCATCAGCAAAGCTCTGGAGAGAGGGTCACTGCTGGGCTGCTCCATAGACGTCAGTCTGACACACACACACACACATACATTCATACATATATACACATACACACACATACACACACATATCATTAAACTATGTTTAATCAACTCGGGGGGCACCACCCTGAAATCAGGGAAATATAATCAAAATATCACTCAAATCAGTCTCAAATTAGTTATTTAATTACTAATATTATTAATAATTAATAACTATTTTTAATAAATTGAAGGCATGAAATCTGTACACAAAGCCCTTGCACCCAGCTTATATCACAATGTAAATACACCAGTAATAACAAACAAGTTCAGTAACTGTTACTTAAACACCAGAAAGCCAGTGGCCGGACTTTGATTCAACGGCGGGTACACTGGTCTTTCTGATTGTGAAAGCCGTTGACTGAAGGTAAACTAGCATAGCATTAAACACATAGACGAACACAGCAGTTCATTACAATAAAACAAATGCAGTAGCTTACAACAGATAATAAACAGAATGTGACGTCAACAATGATGCATAATTATCAGTGGTTATAAAAGAAACATAACTATTTCTGAAACTATTTCTAAACTATTTTTAAACTATTTCTGAAACTATTTCTGCCCAGACCAAAGCTCTTACTTGGGGTAACTCCTGGTGATCGTTGCAAAGTTGGTTAGATCGTCACTCTGTTGAATGTTAAATCAACAGATTCAGGCAGGTTTCCTTCGTGGCAGATGTAGGAGGAGGGTAGCAGGATTCAGATCTTCGACCAGAGCGCTGCTCTATAGGGTCTTCTGGTTGCAGGAGCCAAGTTCTTTATGTGTCCTTGTGGATTCAGGGATCAGTGGGCTTCCTTCAGCGCTCCTGTCCAGTTGCGTTCAATGACGTCTTACGAAAAATCAAAGGAAAGAAACTCTTCTTTTTGCTCGAACCTGATAGCATCTGATTGCGCCCAAAACTCCTAAAAAATATGCCGTGGAAGTAGTCAGCTGATGGAAGCCCTCTGATGCTTGAATTCAGCATGTGAAGAGCTACCTAGACTGAACAACCTCAGCTCTGGAGTTTAACTTATGTAAGCCAAGAGGAGGAAAGGCTTTGTCTCGAATGATGGAGTCCATCATATGGAGAGG